CCTGACCCACAGGGTGTCAGGTTGGGTTCTGACTCTGTCAGTGTTGTTTTGATTTACTGCATTGTTTATTTTTATCCTTTTATTTTCTTCTCTAATAAAAAATTGTTACTCCTGCTCCCATATTTTTTACCTGAGAGCCCCTTAATTTAAAATTTACAGCAATTCAGAGGGAGCAGGTTTGCGCTCTCCATTTCAGGGGATGCTCCTGCCTTCCTTAGCAGACTCCTGTCTTTCCAAACCAAGACACCTTTGGTGTTTAATTTGTCTCAGTGCCCCTGGACAGCCAAGCCTTGTGCCTGAGCAGTCTGTCAGTGTCCCATCAGGAGCCCCCCCAGGTCATCCTGCTGGATCCTGGTGGTGCCACTGACCTTCTCCAGCATAAGGGAGAGCCCTCAGCAGCTCTTCCCATTTTCTGACGCCGCAGGGGCCCTTCCTCTTCACCAAGAGTGTTTCCTCCTGCTGGTGACAGCTGGTGCTGGGGAAGGGTTCACCCTCAGAGTTCAGAGAATAAATCCCTTTATTGATATAAGACTGTGAGGTTATAGTTCAAGAATTGTCTGTGTTACCACCTGTCAGTGATAGGATTTGTCACTGATAGGATCTGACTGCATAAAGGTGTTCAAAGCAATCCCCAGACAAGCTCTAATCCCCAATTAAAGTATTCAATGTGCACAGAGTGCAGTTCTTACCCAACAGGTCCTGAAGGGGAAGAAGGCAGGTTCAGCCCACTGACTAAGCCCAGCAGTAACCCTGGAGTCTTCCCTCACTCCTCCCCCATTCTCAACTTACTTTTTATCAGTTTATTTCTGTTTGGGTGGAACTTGAGTGACTCAAGTGGTGCAGGCCTTTATGTGTAAAATTCCTTTGCTTTGCTTTTAAAGATGAGTCACAAAAACCACCCCAGTGAGGGGTAGTCATACTTTTGGGAGAGGGGGTACCTTTGGGATGGAGGGGTGTGTTAATGATACAATTAGACTTTAATGAACCACGTTTATCAGAGGAGTGGTATCAGAGGAGAGCATTTTCACCCAGCTGTTGGCTTGGATGCAGGACATTTCCTCCTCCCTGACGTGGCTGGCAGGTGCTGAGCAGTTTCTCAGCTGCAAAGCACCATTGAGTTTTTTCTAACATCCAACCTGAACCTTCCCTGGGGAAACTTGAGATCACTTCCTCTTGTCCCATCCCTTGTTCCCTGGAAAAAGGGACTGACCCTCCCCTGGCTATAAGTCCCTGAACAGAAACTCCTGCTCTCCTGCATCCCTGGGCTCTGCTGGGGAGATGGGAAGGCTGCAGCAGGTGAGAGACAGCCCCAGGTTACCGAGCCCAAGAGACACCACTCTGCCCCTGGGGAGACACTGGGGGGTGAGCTGGGATGGCTCTGGGCTCTCTGCACCCCTGAAGGGGCTGAGAGTGTCCCTGTGGCACACAAGGCATCCTGAGCCAGTGCTCTGGGCTCTCTGCTCTCCCTGAGGGGCTCAGAGTACCCCTGTGGCACACAAGGCATCCTGAGGCAGTGCTGGAAGGGGCCAGGCCTGGGCCCCACTCCCTCTGCAATGGGGTCCTTCACAAGCCTGGTCCCCTTCAGGCCCCTTCAGAGCAAAGACCAGAGATGGCATTTCCACAGTAGAATTGGAGATACAGGGAACCTTTCTGAAGCTGACAGGCAGCTTTCAATCCACTGGCTCTGCCTCCTCTGGAGAAAAGAAATAGGAGTAGGAGAACTCTGAAACCTGGCAGCCCCTGCCTTGCTCCTGTGGGATGGAGGCTGGGGAAGGCAGGTCTGCCCAAGGTTGGCATCTGCAGCCCCATCTCCTGCAGCCTGCCT